CTTTGACTGTCGCGACTTCCTGAGGTGTTCCCATATAGACGTAAACCTTTGACTGTCACGACTCCTGAGGTGTTCCCATAATGACGTAAACCTTTGACTGTCACGACTCCTGAGGTGTTCCCATATTGATGTAAACCTTTGACTGTCACGACTCCTGAGGTGTTCCCATAATGACGTAAACCTTTGACTGTCACGACTCCTGAGGTGTTCCCATAATGACGTAAACCTTTGACTGTCACGACTTCCTGAGGTGTTCCCATATTGATGTAAACCTTTTACTGTCACGACTTCCTGAGGTGTTCCCATATTGACGTAAACCTTTGACTGTCACGACTTCCTGAGGTGTTCCCATATAGATATAAACCTTTGAAAGTCACGACTTTCGGAAAGAGTTCCCATACTATTGTAACCCCTAGTTACTGTTATCTTCTGTAACTGTATGATATTTTACTTGATTATGACATGTCTATGTATACAATATAGAGACCCAGCAGGGATGGCTTTTAGTTGTATTGTATAATGTTAGTGCTGTCGCTAATTAAAGAAATACCTGCCAGGTAGATTACATATCATTAGGTCATCACACCTACCCAGACAAGTCCATTATACTGTACTAATAGGCATCCCCACCACCTTCAAGTGTGGTCAACATAATGGCTTTAGCTGTAGATCTCTGTTAACCCTACTTTAATAGGTCAGAAGGGCTCACTCAGTGATTGGTTATGATTAGGTAGATTTAGGACTAAATCTCACTATCTTACTTGTACAGTACTAGTGGTAGGTGATTTTAAGTACAGAATTGGTCAGTTTTAAAGTGTACATGACTCATCATGAAAAGAGAATTCAGGATCCTTTGGGCCTCCTTTGTATAAGAATTGAAACCTACTCTGCCTATTTATAGTTACCAATTGTCCTTTTATTGGTAGGATGGAATTGGAAGACATTCCCAATTGGGGGAATGTTTTGCACTCCAGGTTTCCAACACAATCACAGCAGTATAAAAAACAAAAAAACTAATAGGTTGTTTTACTGATTAATCATCGGAGGATTAAGAAATGATTTTGAAATTCACAGGTTTGGTGTCAAGATCTGTGTAGCAAGCTGTTGTATTAGGTACAGATATCATTGGTGACCAAAGATGTATGGACTGGTAACATTGAATTGTTTCCAGGACCGACTACATCATCATATATTTTAATTGAAATCTTTAATTCTTGACTTTCCACTGATAGTTGTGAACAATGTCCTGTAATATGTTCTGTTTATGATATCACATACAATTTTAGTGAAATTTTATTTGTGAAATGGTGGTAAATTTTATTCTGTTATATATGTGACTACCATCTTTGTTCCTGTAATGGCAAGATAGCTAGTAATGTCAGTGTCCGCCGGGGATTGAACTACAAACTTCAACTTACCAGACTAGTGCTCTACCATTCTAGAAGCTTAGAAGGCAAAGATTTCTCTGAGAACAATAAAAATCTGCCACATAATACTGTGCATTTCTGTGGTTCTCTATTTCCAAAAAGGTTCAATATCCTGTAGCTTTTGGAATCTGGCACCATATACAACAGGAATACGAGTATTGTGTCCTGATGATGATCACACTTGCAACCCAGGCTTTACTTATAGGGTTTAGGAAAATTCCTTCTAGAAAAAAATGGACTCAAAGATGAAAGTGCTTTAAAGTTGGATAACATCAGTAAATGAATGAGACAGGAAATTCTCAGGTTTCATAGTGAAACTTTTTTCTGTAATTCAGTCTGTTATTTAATGCAGCCTTATTGTGTTTCTGTAAGAGCATAGTGCATGTATTTTGTACTAAGGAATCTTGGTTAAGAATAAAAAAAAATGATTTGATATTCTGTTTGATATGCTTTAAGAGGACTCTTAAAACATGCGGTTATATCACAAAGATATAAATAGGAACGCAGCAGATCCAAAGAGTGATAGAAAATTTCCTTAACAGATCTAATGTTCCACTCTGTATGCAAAACTCCTACTCATAAAAGTTCCTTTCAATTATGTAAAATTTGAATTAATGATATAAAACCAATTAAAAAAAGGTACAAGTTCACAATATTTTAATGAAGTGCCTTAAATTTCAGTATTGAAATAAAAAAATTGTTACATCAATTTCAATTTGAATGATTCCAATTTTATAGCACAGTGTTTATTTATGTCATCTTCTGCTATAAAAAGAAATCTTGATGATAATATCAAGATGTATATTTACAGAAGTACATGAACAGAAGCAAATTGGTATGTAAATGTAAGTTATAAAAAAAAGTTGCTAGGTTATTTTTGGATCATACCTTAAAATATATATACATTTCACATTATTGTGTACAGTTTTTGTCTTTTACAAATTCGTTCCATGTACACATAATGGTTGTGGGGATGGTTCTCCAGGGCGAGGCAATTAGTATCCCCTAATTGTACCCATCTTTTGGCTCTTTCTTAGATAAAGAGAATTCCAGGAGCTCTTTAAAACACTTCTGTACGCTAAAACCAGCTGGATGCAATAACGATGTGGTAGTTCTTTGAAAACACAGAAAAAAAGAGAAACCTGCAAGTGTACATTGGATCTAGTTGTATAACACAATCGCTCAGTTGTAACTTAAGCATATTGGTTTGTGGAGGTGTTTCTTCTTAGGTTAAATGAATTGTTTACATGTTTGTGTAGGAAATACTAGTGTATTCTGTGGTTGTGTATGACTGATGTTATCAAAGAAAGGGAGGGTCTCAAACAAAACATTTATTTGTCATTAAACATGTATAAAGTGTAGGCAAACTGGTTTAGGAAGGAAAAAACAGGGTATTGAATTTAGAATTGTTGAAGAATATAATTATCAGTGTGTTAAAAATGTTGTTTATGTTCTGCTGAATAAATTGTATCTGTAAAATTATGTGAAGTTTCCTGTAGCTATGAGAACAAATGGTGTCGCAGTGGAAAGTTGTGCTATATTTGAAGGTATAAGTTGAGTAATGTTACATAAAGAATGGTTGTAGGATTATTAGTGATTGACTAGAAAGGATCTAGTTATTTAAAGAAGATGGTTTTGTAAAGGAATTGAAATATATAGCAATAGCTTGGTCAGGAGATGATAAGAAAAGTAAATTACTACATGTATTTCAGAATGTGTTTTAAGTGCATCCATGTGCGTGCAGAGTAATATTCTTAAATGTTTTCTCCAAATTAGAAAGAATTCTAATCTTGCATTTTGATCACAGGACCTTAGAGATGTTGGCTCTCACTTTAGAACCAATCAAATTTGGCAGCCACTAGAACTTTGTAAATGTTAACATTGGTATGAGATTGTGTCTTACATAATATCAGCAGTGACATGGTCTAAATTATTCATGGTTCTGGGTACAAAGGATGTTAATGACAAGTCATTTTCTGTAGAACGCCTCTACATTCCGATATCACTTCTTATCCTTGGAGTTGTTACCGTCCTGACATCATTTTGTTCCCATAGCGATACGTTGGTATGATTAGGATGAAATGCTTTAAGAAAGGTCATGTGTTCTATGAGTTCATGCTGAGCCAAGACTCAAGTGAGATGTGGTTATCATTAAAAATCCATTGTTTGGGTAATCCATTTCACGTCAAGTTGTTGTTTTTTTCCTTGATTTCTTCTCCATTATTATTCATTCAAAAGATCTGCATGACAAAGAAAGGTAGATTTGTTCAAATTAAATGACAGTGGGGATTAAGGCCTATCAATCTCTGTCAATTAATGTAAAGAATGCCTCTAGATAGATTAAACATACTTTGAGTTCATTTGTGTGTGTTTCAAACATTCATTTCGATGTCTGAGAAATGCAGGAATCTTTTTTTTTTTTTTATATATAATAATCTAACATGATTTAGGATTGTTAAATGCAAGCCACCAGCTATTAGGGGAGTTTTCCAGTTCTAATATAATTTATCTATGATTAGTTTAAGGTGTTTTTTCTTGTTGATGACACCAAGTGGGGAGACAACATCAATTAATAATTGGTTTAGAGTTACCTGATCAGCACTATCATCTAAACAGATAATAATGATGTAATTTTTGCACAAATCATGAAATGGGATTTGGCTGAACTTTAAATGTTCCCAGAGATATGAAATGAACTTATACCAGATAAATGATTACTTTCTAAAAAAATACAGAAAAGAGGCTTTTTCATCATTAATTTAATATTTGGCTCTGTTGTTGTGGTCTTCATTGTAAAACAATGTCGTTGAGTGTGTGACATCATTTCACTATGAAATCCTTATGTCAAAATAGATCATTAACATGAGTTCACATCTAAAATATTACAGGGTCGTATACACCAAATGACACTGCAATTGTATAATAGATGGCGATATTTCGGAACATTTGCCGCAGTTTGTAATGTCTAAGTTCTTAAAAGAAAACTAGTAGGAGTTTCGGTGACGACATGGTCACCTTCATCAAACAAATGACCAATATGGAGCGTACTAGCACTGATGAAAGTAGTGTCCGAGATGGTAAAGAATCATATCATTGACTGGGAAATTAAAAAAAAAAATTGACAGGGAAAACAACATTTTCAGACAGTTGTGTAATAACACTAAAAGAACATTGATATGTGATTGATAATGTCATATGATATAAAAAAAAATGGCTTGCTTGACTCACGATTCATTGTTCTTATAGGCAAATGAATATGGTAGACATTTAGAATGAACGTGATCAATAGATTTGTACACTCATGTCCCAGTTGTATTGATATCATTCTATAATTCGATATAACCCAAACATTGCCACTTAAATAGATCCTCCTTATACCTATCAAAAATCTATATAGGTCTACACTATCAATAGTAGAGCATCAGAAGTACGAGTAAACCATAAATCAGCCAAAATGAGCACCAGCCACAGGAAAATGACATTCTATAGACCATTATGTTTTATAACACTTTAAATTTTCTGGAAATATGTGATTAAAATTGCTATCTACATGTTTAATTGATATATTTTCAGAACTGCTTGGGTCCAGTAAAAAGGGTGGCATCAACTACCAGGACAGTGATGGGTAAGTGGTTTTCCTGGATCACATGATTGGAAATTGATCACATGATTTGTATGAAAATTTCTCCTACTGTTCTACAGATAGATTCTACTCCATGTAGTAATGTACTATACCAACCTATAGATAGGTCAATAGTTTACAGATTTTTCCAATTCTTTCAAGTTGGTTTTCACTGAAACTGTCTTTAAGTTAGAAAATTGTTTTTAATGACTTTGCTTTTAGGAACTTTGCTACAAGTTTTAACCTTCTATAAACAAATATATTCTCATTTTGAAATTGAAAAATGTCTTTGATTCATGTTTCTTTTGGTAAAGACTATATTCCTGACTGTGAAAAAAGATGTAATTCTTTATAATTATCAACTTCTATATAAAGAGTAATTTTTTATGATTATTAGCTTCTATATAAAGAGGCTGTATTCTGCACATAAAACACTTTTTGGTTACCTTGATTTTTTTGTTTGTTTCAGTTTTGTTTTTGTTTTTTGACAGTTTTGAAAATTATAAATAACTTTTATATAACAATAATTCATCACTTCAGATTTTGTCTGTATATTTCGTGGTTGTATGTGAGCTATCAGTGTGTTTGTATTTGGCTATCTACATTCCGAATCCCTCTTGCAAACAAGACCTGCTTATAGACTCTGTGTACATAGTTTATAATTAGTATGTCTATTGGCCATAATGCCAATTCCTGATAATAAGCCCATCCATGTCTATACAAAGCAGCTGGGAAAAGTAAACACACTTTGACAATTGTCCTATTCTTATTCTGATTCCCCCTAAATATGAAATGTTTAAATTTAAATACTCCTTGTAGGATTAATAGGGAACAAAACACATGTTACATTTTAAACAGAAGTATTAGAATTTCTTTATTATCAAAATTGAAAAAAAAAAATCTACAGATGACTTTCATTCATATAATTGATTTTCATTTTTTTTTGTATGCAAAATGCAGCTTTCTGATTTGTCATTTGTTTCTTTTCATTTCTACTGTGGGCATTCATTCAGTTTGCAAATAGGTTTTTCTTTCATTTCAGCATGAAACTTAAAAATGCTACTATCAAAACCTTTAATGAAAATATTTTAATTTCTGTGTATGTTTTTCAAAATGCTAAAAAACTGAAATGCATTGTATCAACCATAACGTGTATAAAATTTCCAAGAGGAAGATCATGAGCTTAAAAGTTCTGAACATATATATACTCTTTTGTTTGAAGCTTTTGCTGTGGAAACATATGTGTAAATAAATATTTTGTATGTATCTGTGAAACATTTAAGTGAAGTTGAATAGGTGGGACGATGCCTAAGTTACATGCATGCTAAAATTTTACAAAGTTGATGAGAAATAATATTGACATTACAACAACACTGATTTGAGTTACTTGTTCAGGATGTCTATAACATAGTGGAATGGTCTGATTCTGTATAAAACATTTGTTCATGGTCATTTTTATCGTTAAAAAAATCCTTAGAATAGAATTATGTATACAAAGTACACTGTACTTCCTATACAGTCAGCTTTATCATTGACTTCAAGTGATCTTTTAATTTTCATTGTCTCAGCGAAGGCCAAAATGGCAAAAGTCAAAACTGCTGCTGCATGAAACTGATATTTTTCCAGTTACGCAGTCACTCAGACCCAACATTATGGTGTTATTGAAATAGTTTGGGCATCACACTTTTTCATGCAGTATTCAACTTAAAAGTAAGATTTCATTTTAAACTAATGTCCGAAAAGGAGGACTTAAACTCTAGCCATGCAAGTCCAATTCAAGTTTGTGAAAGGTTTATCGCAATCTTGAACATTCAGACTCTTAGCAATACAAATATTTCTGTGACTTTGATTATTGCTTTAAGGAAAGACTAAATTGATAAATGGAAAAAAATGATTTTTTGATCAAAGCTAATTGGAAATGGAAAGAGAAAGTATACTTATTGTAAGAATAGTTGAATGACTGGTTCTCAAGTTATAGTATCAATCATGGATTATATACATAGTGGATGATCCGACATGGATGTCAGCACAATGTAATACAAGTCTAAAGTGAAACCATCAGTAAGTCCAAGTCTTCAGTTACATATTTATCAAGTATTAAGTCAATGCCTGGTAAGGTTACTTTAGTTGTTTATACAACAACAGATGTTTATAGTGTAAAGAGCATGCCTTCTTAAGACCATAAAATAATATGGTTTATTAAATATGAATTTGACATCACTTTAGAAAAGACTCTCTATTGATACAGAATAATTCCATTTATCTTTGTATGAATATTGTAAAAGAAAAGATAGTTCTTAAGAGTTGATTTTAAAAACCACTATGTATTGTTTATGATGAAAGGTAATGTTTTGAAAATAAATGCTGATGCTACAGGAATTTAAAAACCTAGATTGAAAAGAATTTGTTTTTAGACTAAGAAATTTTTTTTTCACATTTGCAAATTACTTATTTTGTTTTGTTGAAGAAGTTTGAAAATATTTTTTTAAGAGACAACTTTTGAAGTGATCGAAAAGAACTGGAAGTAATTTTGTTAAAGGCATGGCTTATTGACATTCATAGGTTAAGAAACGTAGAGTAGTGAGTAATTCTTTTATACAAGTTTTTTACAACCAATACATAAACCATTCAGGAAGGGAAAGAGGTCAAGGCAGTTTTATAGCACCTAGTGGCTATGTCAGTAACTACGTTTCTACATCTATTCCTGAAAATATCTAACTCCAGATTTGATTACGTGGCAAGCTGGTGAATAAAAGGCCTGCACTTGTTGGAATGTGTCAATCCCAGTGGAACAATGATTGTCAATGGGTTGGAATCGCTGCTCCCACACCAATCAAACCCTGCAGATCACTGCTCGGCCATAGCTCGAGGTGTGTGTAGATGTGGGGAGGAGAAATAGGAGTAGAGAAATAGGAGTAGGGTAGGGGATTATATGAGGAAATCAATAGCAGGCAGGTCATGTGACCCAACAATGTGCATTAATAGAAGTTACGTTGGTTTAGCTTTGTAATGGAAATGGAAAAATGCGGGCTCAACACAGAATTCAAATTTGGAATCCAACATAGATTCATTAGTGGAAACTCTGACAATAGCCCAATGGCTTATCTTTGCGATTGCCAAGATACTGGGGGACCATATTTGGAGGAAACTATTACTTATTTATCCATAATATTTTCTTTTAAAGATATGAATAGTAATTACAAATATCGATATATAAATAATGAAGGATAAATAAATTATGGAAAAGGAAAAAAAACAATTATAGAGGACAAAAAGCTATATACTCATGGAGAAAGTAATTTGTGAAATCACTGATTACTAGAGATTCAAAAATAGAACAGATCAGATGGGATTGTTTCCTGTTATAGAACATAAATAAACCTTTTTCCCTACCAGCTGTGAGTATCCAGCAGATATGCTTGACCTTCAGTGACCTTAAGTGTAACCATCCTGTTGCTTGGCTACAAGGTCAGACTTGGAGGTGCTTGATTACAAGTTTACAAGGCCTTCCTCGATAACTTTCTGATTAAGGCTAAAGGTCACCAGTTTAGGAATCTCAAAGGAGCCTTAAGTTGTAACAATCGGGTGGTTCCTGTACTGGTACTTACAAGAGTATGCAGATGTGTTTCAGATAGCAGTGTAGGTCTATACATCTTGGTTCCTGATCTGGTCATTTTTCCTCCCCTGTGTTTGATAAAAAACAATTCTATAATTGATTTGAAATGCCTAAATAGTGATATATTTTTGTGGTAGTAGTAGACAATTGTGTAAGTAGTTTCCCTTCCAATTCCCAGGTCTGTTACGTTTTGATCAATTCTCTTCCAATCAACAGGGCTGTATGTACAACATGTACTGATGAATCCCAGTATCTCAACCCCAAGGGTTATGTGAATGATCTATTCCTTTCTCAAACCCCAGGTCTGTGTGACTGTTCTGTTCCTTTCTCTACCCACAGGTCTAGTGACCAATCTATTCTTTGCTCATCCCCAGGTTTATATGACTGTTCTATTCCTTTCTCTATCCCCGGGGGTACATGGCTGATCTATTCTTTTCTTGATCCCCGGGGGTACATGGCTGATCTATTCTTTTCTTGATCCCCAGGGGTACATGGCTGATATATTCCTTTCTCAACCCCCCAGGTCTATGTGAGTATTCTATTCCTTTCTGAACTCACAAATCTATACGTGACTGTTCTATTCCTTTCTCTACCCACAGTTCTAGTGACCGATCTATTCTTTGCTCACCCTATTCTATTCCTTTCTTTGATCCCCAGGTCATTGTGATTGTTCTATTCCTTTCTGGATCCCCAGGTCTATGTGAGTGATCTTTTCCTTTCTTGACCCTCCAAGTGTATGTGACTGTTCTATTCCTTTTTCGACCCCCACCACTACATGACTGATCTCTTCCTTTCTCAATACCCAGGGCTATTTGTACACTTTTCCCCTCATGTTGATTTCAATGGCTTTACAGATTAGGGTTCTTAAGTATTTTGGTAGGTGTGGTACCTTTACCTTTCTTTTGATGAAATAAAACAGGTACCAGTTTACAGTACAACTACACAGCAGACTTCAGGTGCTAACTCACTGAATTTAAGGAATGTTAAGACTTAAGATTTGTGTAAAGGTCAAGAGCGACTAATCAGATCAAGAGCTTATAGTATCACTGTCCCTAACCCAGTACACCCATGCATGAGTGTAACTTGTCATTGCTGAGCTAGCCTGTTAGAGCTCTGGCCATGATATCCTATAATTATAACCTCTAGCCTGCAATTTAGTTCAGTGATTTCCTGTAGAGTTCAGAAGTGCAGGTATATATGGTATCACTCTGAAAATGTGCAACTGTGCACAGTATGTCAGGCAGACATTTTTTTACATAAAACCTTATCATAATACAGCCTTTGAAAATTTGGATCCTATACCATGGGATGATATTTTGGAAATCTTTTTTGTAGTAGTTTGTTTTTAGCGCAAGTTTTTAAATATATGTGATGATATTGCGATAGC